TTCAAAAACCATGGCTACATTGCCTACAAAAACAAGCGTGTCTCACATGACACTGCTGGCGGGTGCCCATCGTTTAGGCAGCCCTGCCCGTCCCTGCTGGACGCTTCATGATGCTCCTAGCTACACCAGCCTTTGCCTTTGCTTTCGCATCGGCTTTGGCCTTGGGCTCAGGCTGAACTCCATCCCCATGACTTTGAGCAGGTGCATGATCGTGCCCTTGTTCTTCAGCCCAATCTCGAGGAAGCAGCCCTTCCTGAATCGCCAGAGTGATGTCATCATCAACCAGCGGTGCAAGCAATGTTCTGCTGTAGTTGCCGGTAGAGAATCTTCTGGTCAATGATCAGGCGGACGTAAAAGGGGTCCATCTTTGAGAATGGTTCTCCGAGGTCTGTGGCTGCTCTTGCCACATAGAAGGCAAGCTCATGCCACGTCCATTCCTTTGGGACAGGCTCCTCCTTCAGAATGCCTCTGCCACTGAAGGTCTCGAAGCTACGCCGGAGGTAGTTTTCAGTCTGACGATCTAGGTTCAAGGAAACGTTGACCAACAAAGGGACTTGTGGCTCAACTGCACGGTGTTCCTTTCTTACATAGATCATAAAACCACCTGCCGTTCGACCAAACAGCATGCCAAAGGGCTGGCGGATGATAAGCTTGACCTTGATGGCCCTCATCGGCGAAACGGTGATGAAGCAGGTACTGCCAACTTCCCCTCGAAACCACATGTCATCCATTCTGGTTTGTGCGGTTGGTCCGAGGGAGCTCCATCCTTCTACCATATGTATCTCATGGCCAAAGACATACTTGGACGTAACCGTGCGCTTCGCCTCCTTCCAGATCCATGGAAGAAGTGGCATTGCAAAAATTGGACTTTGCCCGGCAGGTTTGATACTCAAGGCTGCATTTTTTTTCTCCGAGAAAACTCCGATCAGGTGAGTCTGTTCCAGGCTCAGACTTTGCAGCATGAATACGTCTATAGTCTATATATATATATATGTATACACTGTGCGTGTGCCGATATGATGTGTATATGTATGCCATCTCATGCCACACAAACAGAACTGCTTGACATTCATTTGGTTCTCACGCCATGCTAGCATTTGCTCGTGCACATTGAATCTCGCAAATTACAGCTTGCATACATGTCTGAGCTCTTATAGTGAAAGGCAATGAGGCTGCCATGTGAGGAAACAACAGCTCTTGAGGAATCCAAAGTCAAAATGTATTTTGGTACATTACCTTTTCTTTTCTGGCAGCCACATTGCAACAACGCGGCAGCAGCACTGCAAAACACCTTGACTATAATTTGGTTTCCCCCCAGGAGACAATAAATATTTTCCAAGCTCCCCGGATCAAAGGTAATGATAACTCACGTCGGTATGGAGGTGTTTCCGATTCCATCTAACCATCCATAGGCCCAGAAAAATGTTTAAACTAACCCTGTGTGTGGGGGTTCCCAATCACAAATCACAAGAATTTTCAATATTTCTGGCGGTCTCCCTAGCCAAATCCCTCTGGGTTCAAGAAACCCCCAAATCCGAAATACTATCAATCTATATAAAAATTGCAGTTTGGAGGGCCAAAATAATATCAATCTATATAAAGTTGGCACTCCGGGGAGCCAAAATAATATCAATCTATATAAAAATTTGCATTTTTGAGCAAAAAATAGTATCAATCTATATAAAATTTGCATTTTGGATCAAAAATAATATCAATCTATATAAAATTTGCATTTTTGGGCCAAAAATAATATCAATCTATATGAAATTTGCATTTTGGGAAACCAAAATAATATCAATCTATATAAAATTGATTTTTGGGAATATATTTTAAATCTCCAAATTATAGCCAAGTGAGGTCATCTCCAGCCGGCCCACTGCTGTTTTCAGCCATCTGTCGCTGCACCGCTGCCATGTCACGGAAGCCACGGATAGCATCCTTAGATGGACGACTGAGGCTGACAGCACCACAAAATAGTACAAGTGGCATGTTCTAGTGGGTGGCAAAAGCCAACATGATGGCACATACCGTAGCTTTGAAATGTTCTTTGACAAAATGCCGGCAGAATACAAAATACCGTCACTTCACAGGATTGTACCGTGGCGCACCCATATAGAGCAAGGATTTTTAGTTTTGACATCAGATATTCTTGTCAAACATAATGTCACACCCATGCAACGGTTCATCAATTTCATTGGACACATTGCGTTGCCCCTTCTAGTTTTCCCCAAAAAGGATGTATGTGGCTGTAACCAAATGGATATCCCCAGGAGTATGGCTTGAAGCCGGGCGGGCGTATGCCCTGCCAGGTGCGAGTGCAACCACCCTGCAAGCTTATAGTGCGTTCACCCATCAAATGAATGGGATGTTTCTGTCAGCCGAATGAATTGTTTCCGTCACATGAATGCATTCAAAACAATGAGAGCTATATCCCATGAACCAAAGCAGTCCATGTTGATTAAGCCAAGATTCAACCAGGGCCCTTTGCACCTGAACTTGCTGTCCAGCGCGGCGACGGTTTCTATTGCGACCTTCTCCAAACCTCAGCTGGTGAATGATGTCACAACATGCCATGCAAAAACGTCATATGTCCTTTTTTGAAGGAGGACCCCAGATGTTTCTATGACTCACCCTGCGCCAAAGAAACTAGATCACTCCAGCTACTCCCAACAGGTATGTTTTGAAATAGCCAAGGCACGCATGGAAGATGCCGTCGTGGGCAGTGACGAAGCCACCATGCACGTAGTAGCCGCTGCCGTCACGGCTGGTCGCCTGGCTTTTGCTTTTCCCTTTGCCTTTTCCATAGCGGCCTTTACCACGACCTTTTCCTCTCTTGCCTTTGCCCTTCCCTTTGCGGCCATTGCCGTGTCCTTTCCAACCATCACCGTTTCCATCACCTCCATCTCCATAGGGTCGGGCACCTGCAGCCCCATCTCCATCACCTCCATCATAGGGTCGGGCACCTGCAGCTCCATCTCCATCAGCTGCATCTCCATGGGGTCGGGCATCTGCAGCTCCATCACCTCCATCACCTCCATCACCTCCATCAGCTGCATGGGGTCGGGCATCATTTGCAGCTCCATCACCTCCATCTCCATCACCTCCATCAGCTGCAGCAGTTCGTCCATCCGTGTGCTGCCAGTACCATCCACGACCGCCCGGGTCAGCAACATACCATCCCTCATCATCATCATCATCATCATCATCATCATCATCATCGCGGTGGTCTTCATGAGGCTCGGTCTCATAGGTGGGTCCAACTGTATCATAGGCTTCATCATCCTGTTCTTCCTTTGCCTCAGAATCACTGCAGGTTTTATGAAACCGCTGGCAGGGCTTTGCTCGCCTTGGGGGATGGAAGAACCAGCACAACTTCTATATAGATTCTATATAGATGTTGTATACTCAAGTCAAGCTAAGCACAACATCAACCTTGAGCTACAAGTTGAGCTGTTCCAACATGTTTTCCAGTGCTAGTTAATTTTGTTACCCATGAACTCCAGGACAAGTAACTACTTCGGGTGTTGCCCCCTCCTCCTCCTTCTCAGCATCTTCTTCCATCTTCTCCTCCTTTTGCATGTTCAAGACCACCAGCAAGGCATCGCGCCGTTTTAAGTCTTCCTGATATCGGGAAGCTGGAAGTTGAGCCAAACATTGGGGCCAAAAAAGCAAGTGGGTGAACTGAGCATTGATTTTGGTTTGGGTTTAGTTTTGGGCCAAAAAAAAAGTGTCCCACTCAAGATCCAAAGGTCGGGGTCCAGCAAGCGATCATAACGGTCCTGGTAGAACGCAAGCTTCTCTTCAATTGTCATCTCCTGAGTGATGTGGGATCACTATAAATTTGTATACGTCTCCATCTGGAAATAAAGTACCAAAAGAAATTCTGATGGGAAAACAAAACCTGCCATTGAAGGTCTAATTTAGCTGGGTATCTTCGGCCTTTGGGTTCTTCACATGCCACGGTGGTGGGTAAGCAGGTTCAGCAGGCCGCCTTGCCTTTGCTTTGGCGCTCTGCCCCATGTGGTCCTGCAGAAGCCGCTCATAAACTTACAAAAGCATGACTTGACTTTGAAACCAATGAGATAAGACCTTTCTCCTAAACAGTTTAGAAGGCTATACATGGGCCACCCAATAGCCAGCAAACAACCAAACACAAAACAGTCACCCAACACCATCCTGTCCTTCATTAGCCAACTGATTGCTGATCCAGGCTCACTCAGTTCAGGTGCAGGTTCAGGTGGGCCACGTTTCGAGCTAGTGCTAGTGGCTGCCATGGCTCAGTCTTGTAACGCGGCGAGGGATGTTTTCAAAAATCCATGATGTTAATGCCAGGTGATGACATGTGAAGGTGAGTGTGTGATTTGTGTGGATGTTGCACTTGCAGAATTTTGAGATCAATATGTTTTTTAAGTACTTATCTGTTTATGTTCTATATATATTTCAATATATCTACATGCATATCCATGGAGTTAAAAACTTTTGCAAAGCTTCATTGATGAAAAACACCTTGATGATCCATGGTGCATTAATCAGTTGAGCACCTCATCTTGCAAGGTCGGACTGCGCTTGTGATTGGACATGATGGAATATATGACTCATCTCAACACAGAACTGTGGTTTAAACATGTTTTCAAAACTTTCAGTGCATCTGCGAAACTTGACATGACATGTATATGCAATATAGTCTGACATGGTTGGCGACATGTGATTGAAAAACCCTTTTCCACTCCCACCACCAAAAACAAAGAATGGCTTTCCAGATTTTTTCAAAGAATGAAGTTATATTGTTGCACTGTCAGGTCTCAGAACATTTCTGAATAAACGTGTTTTCTCCCTCTTGCCAAGCAAATCCTGCTGAACACTGCTGTCTATGCACTTTGAAGTGCGCAGCAAACCCCAAAATAGAATTGTAACACGTGCTGGTTGTGAGTACAACCCGCGGTAAAGCATGTATGGCTTCAAATCACTCTTAATTGGCATCAGAAAGGTAAGCATTGAACTCATTGCCAAACCTTGGCATTCTGACGCTTAAGGATCTCCAAGTGCTCCCCATAAGGCTGAGTATCCAAGTGCTGGTCATCAACGAGGGTTGCATCGTAAGCATCCTCACCCCAGGTGTTGCCCTCATGAGACTCTACCTCCTCCTGCTGCAATGATTCAACTTCACATTTCACCTCATAGCTCTGTGACTCCTCACAGGCAATGGATCCAGGTTCACGTGGACTGTCCAAAACGGTGTCTGCTGAGTCTGCTGCAGGAGATGGCTCAGCTTTGACCTTCTTGCGAGTGCGACCCTTTGACATGGTACACTCACAACAGCCCCTGATGACCTGAAGCAGGTTGGTTTCGTTGACTTCGAGCCAAATCTCAGGCCCAGTGCCAAAAGCAACCTGCACAATGCGCTTCGGCATAGCTGGTTCAACAACTTCCGGAAGGGAGATGTCAACCAGAGGACTCAGGTGAGACATGCTGTCTGAGAGAGTCACTCTGCGTCTCTTTGGCTTCCCAGTGCCGTTGTCATCATCAGTGGAGTGGGCACTGATCACTGCCTTCTCACATGCCTCCTTTCTCTGACGGCATAGCTCGTCAAAGTACGCACCAGCGGCAGTGTTGTTCAACGACTTTGTTTTGGTGGCTCGAAGATCTAAGCTCTTGCCCGTCATGAACCGTGTCAAGCCGCGGTCCCACTTGCTCAAAAGCATCACTTTGGTGTTTCCAATCATCTTGGTTTTCGGTATCCAGATCTCACTGTCATTCAACTTGCACCCCACCAAAGTCTCGATGGTCAACTTGTGAGCTTTCTGAATTTCCATGATCAGGTATTATAGTAATACACCTGACTACAGCGGGCTTTAAAGCCCTGCCGATGGCGGGCACACGGCCCTGCCAATTGAAAGTGTTGAAGCCTCAAATGCTACAGCAAGATATTCAGTGAAATTTGCATGCATGGTAACAGTATCAGCGACTGCATGTTTCCAAAGACATGCACTTCCCAATCCATAAAATGTGAATGACTGCATGTTTCCAAAGACATGCTTCCCAATCCCTACTGTGATGATGTCATGCATGGACATCTCAATGGAAGCAGGTTGCAAAACCGCTAGCAGGGCTTGGCCCGCTTGTTTTTCTTTTACCCCTCCACCATTTGCCAACGGGTCTGGAACTGTTCTCAAAAGTTCACATATATAGCCTAGCAAAGATTCTCCTTGGCACGAAGTCGTTTGGCCGGCATCAGCTCGTCCAAGGAGTCAGGGTTGACACGCGCCTTGCTGGGAGGCTTGTAGATGAACAGCTCGGTGTCGGGTTCCAAAGGTGCAATGTTCCGCATATAGGGAATCTTGATGCTCTCCAGCAACCCATCATGCTTCTTGGCAGGCATGTTGACAATCTCCATGTTGGCCATGGCTGCATCGGCAACCGAAGCCACGTGCCAGAATGGCACAGTGATGCCAGTGCTCTGGCGCAGGTGGAACTCCATGTCACCCACCTTTGTCACCAGAACTGACCCATCGCCCCCCTTACCGGTGTCAACCCGGTTGGTGAAGGGAAACAATTTCAGCTGTCCCTTGCCAATCTTCAGGGCACAAACGACACCTTTGCCTGGCTTGCTTCGAATCAGAAGCCCATGTGGAGCGCAGCTACAGCTACCACTGTTCATGGTAGCTGCCCTCAACTCCACTGCCACCTTCCCCTTCACGTAGGAGACTATGCAGTCTTTGTGCTCCACACAACTTGGCTTCCACCAGTTCTCCAAGTACTGTGGCAAGGCCTTGGGCTGGTACTTCGTCCACTGGCCTTTCAAGAAGCTGGAAGCGTCCACCTTCACAACCTTGGATCCACCTTTGGCATCATTCACAGACAGGAGAACCTTGGAGGAGCCATCCTCAAAAGCTTTGATTTTGGCTAGAATTCCATCCTTCCGTGACACGTGACAATCGACTTCGAAGCCGTGTTCTTTCAGGAGTTCTTGCATGTTCACCAAAGTTCCACTGTCATCATATTGGCGCATAATTACATTATTGTTTGCGCAGTTTGCGCAGGAACCACGCCAAAAAAAAACAACTAAAACAAAATGAACTTGCACAGTATATGGTTTTGAAATATAATTGTTTTGTTGCAACTGAGGGTCACCATGCCATCCCCTTGCGACGAAGAACCCTTGCTGGAGGATGATGGGGCCGTATCGGCCGACTGCAAACGGTAAGAATCAAATTCATCCGTAAGCTTCACTCCCGATCTCTCCTGGATCTGGTCAACCAGCATGCATGCCCGGCTCTCCACAGACTCACTGGGGTTCTGTTGGAGAAGAAGTTTGATGGCATCACGGTCAAACTGATGCACATGCTCCCAATTCTCGCTGCCAATGGGATTTGCATTGGTGTAATCTCTCAATTTATTCATGATTGTTTCAGTCATTTTGATCCGATCCTGCTGGGAATTGAAAAGTTTCTTGATCTCACCGGGGGAAATGTGCCCCCCATGCAGTGCATACTGAATGCACGCATGCCGGGTTCGAAGAAATGGTGGCGCATGTCCTCAAATTGAATTTATGGCTGCCATGTGAAAAAACACCCGGAAATCAGTTTACATGAGACAAGCAAATGTCACAAGAAAATATATGACTGAAGAGAAGCCAAAAATCGTGGCTGCGTCAAAATTGCAGACCAAAATTCATTGCCCAAGGTCTTTGGTGGACATGCTGAGCAGACTTGGATGGTTTCATTCAAAAAACTGCAGCCTTGACCCCCGCCATACTGCATGACGAACCGAAAGAGATTGGCCAGTGATTCCTGGCATGCCGGCTTGCTCCTAAGTAGATCGGCTTTCACGTCTTCAAACTTCACCTGGGGGTTCTGCTTGGATTTTTTCTCCCAGCATGCATAAGCCCTCTTGGCTAGCTGGAGTTCTGTCTCTTTTCTTTGCAATTGCCCGGATGTGTTGGCCGTGAGCTGGATAAGGGAAGCTAGCTCTGGAAATGAACCCAAAATCTCTGATGACAAAATGTCCCATGAAAGTCCATGCGTCACTGCATCATGGAAGTTGCAGTCATGGCGCTGGAGTTTTTCCATGCTCAAATGCCCAGAGGTGCAGAATCTTTCATCACTGTGTTTGCATTCAGCTGCAAACAAGCGCAACACCAAGTTGGTGTGGGTGGCGCTGAGGCTTGCAAATTTCACAGTCCCTGGTTGCACCTCTGGAAGCATGCCGTGTGAAGACTGGATCAATTTCTGGTTGAACTCTTGTACTTTAGTGTCACCATGCGGGACTTCAGTTGCTATAGCCTTCACTTCGGACCATGACCAACCACTACTGCCAATGTCAGTCAATAGTCCATGGACCTCTGTGGGATAGCAACCTAGTCCATCCCGATTGTCAGGGTGAATGTGCACCAAAGAAGGGATCACTCTCTGGGTGTACATCAAATTGCGGGACTTCAGGTAAGTGAACAAATTGGAGATAGCGGCTACATGCCCACCGTCCTCAGCCTGCTTGATGTAGGCTTTCACCTTTTCAACGACATCTTGGCCCAAAGGCATGTTGCGAGTTCAAAAGAACCCTGCAAGGCGTGAAATCACTGCCTCTACAATGTTGGCAAAATGGCTGAGGGCATGAATCTTTGAATTCAACCACTCCACCACGCAAAAAATCGAACACATGAAGTGCGAGAATGATGTCACTGACTCACAGAGAGAGAGAGAGATACATATATATATAATATCTGATATATGCACATGCATGCCAAATCTTCAATAATTGACGATGCAGAAAACCAGTCAAACAACGAAAGTTCGGTCAGTTAAGTCTGGAAATGCAATCAGGGCAATTAACCCTGGAAACCCATATGATTTGGCGACCATGCAAGCAGCTGGGCAGGGAGGGCGCACCTTTGCTCTGCGGCAGCAGCTGCCACAAGTCCAACATGAAGCCGGGGCAGAGAGTGAACAATCTCTTTGGCAAAAATCAAAATCATGTTTCTTCGATCAAAGTCCAAAAAGGTCAGACAAAACACAGTTTAAAAATGAATGTTTGTTTCGGTTCATTCAAGAAACTCTCTCACCTGAAAAAACAAAAGCACGAAACGCATCGAAATGCCTCTTTAAAAAAACAAAACTTGTACATGTTTCCATGGATTTGCCCTTTGCCATGCATGAAAAAAATCCATGGCATTGATAACGGATCACACCGGGAAAACAAAATTGACCACCAACCAACAAAAATCTTTGGGAAAACCATCCTCTGCTTTGCATATATGTCACCTGTCACGTCTATTGTCAACCGAAAATTACCAGAAAAAACTTAGATTTTTTGCCATATATCATTGGTGAGCTAAGTGACTTAGGCCACTTAGCTAAGTGCACTTAGACCACTTAGCTAAGTGCACTTCGACCACTTAGCTAACCGCACTAAGTCCACTTAGCTAAGTGACTTAGCACCCCCTCTAACCACTTAGCTAAGTGCATGTTATCTATATACTTAGAATGCATTTAGCTAAGTGCCCTAAATGACTTAAGCACATAGGCTAAGAGGACATCTATCTGCTCTAAAAAAACGTAAGTGCATAGATGTACGTAGATGTGGTCGCCACCAGCTAGAACCACATAGATGTAGTTAGGACGCATTTATGCATGATAGATGATGACTTAGACATCATAGATGTGCCACTTAGAGGTCTGAGTAACCTCATAAGTGGCTAGCAACCGGTCCGGTCATCCAAGTAGGGTAGGAGACGATAGATAGGACGATCATGGATGTTCGGTCAGCCTCTGAGAAAAAATGATATGCTGCGTTGGGTTGTGTTTCGCTGTCTAGGTCTGCAATAGGTTTCATGTTGCGGTGCCGGGCATGTGGGTTTGCATGGAGGAGTGGTGCGGCTCAAGGACACGCGGGACGAGGGGGTTACTCCGTGGGTCTGGCGACGGGTGGAGGCAAGGGGGACAGACCAAATGGTTGTGGCCATGTCCAGTGTTTGGTATAGTTAGATGTTGTCGGTCGCGTCGATGTTGTTTGCTTACAACCATGCCCCTGCAGGTGCTGAATGGCGTCCAAGGACGTGAAGCATGAGCACGACTCGGACGACTACTCCTATGTCACGGAGGAGGCGGACGACAAGGAGACGGGTGCCGCGCCAGACCGCCCGGCACGCAATCCCCCACGTGTCGTGGGGACAGCGGCCAAGAGCCGCGTGCACGTGCCCAACTCGCCACGGTCGCCCATGCTCCGACCGTGGTCCGCGCGCGCGTGGACGAGTCTGCGCCAATTGCGCCACCACCGCCACGAGCGGAAGCAGAGGATCCAGAGACGCCGCAGCGTGCGCGCAGGTCGCGCAAGGAGGAGGGGGCCCGGCACCGTGGTCGCACTGTCTCCCCGACAGCAGCCGCGCCACGGGAGAAGGAGCCAGAGCCTGAGGCTCCTCTGGCACGTGAGGGCCGTGGAGGTGCCCGAGCGTTGACTACGCGCAAGCGCGATACGCTGGAATGCCCCATCTGCTGGCAAGAAGTCGGCGAAGACTTCCGCTGGCTTATCCCAGCATCAATTCTGGTCCGAGCTTTGCAACACCTGGCGCCTGCATGTTCAGAATGGCCTGCCATGGCATCAGGCGGAAAGACAGGCCAGGCGCCTGAAGCGAGACCGGGAGATGCAGCAGGGTGCGGAGGAGGTTACGCCTGCGCCGAACCTGAAGCAGCGCCGTGAGGTGGAAGAAACAAAGAGCGGGGTGACCTTGAATGACATCATGGAGGTGCTGCGTGAGCAAAAGGGAGAACGCAAGAGGCGTCGCAAGCACCGACGCAGGCGCGCCAGTCCCACGCCGGAAGTGGAGCGCCGCGAGAAGAAAGATAGGAAAAAAGATCCTCCAAGTGAGGACGAAGATGCTGGGCCAAAAGTGTTCCGGGGACCGCAGGGCAGTCTGATCTTTCGAGTTCCTGCCAGCATGGTGTGGTGATGGCCTACGCGGCCGGTGCATGTCTACGGGACATGCAGATATATGGGATAGAGAGTGCGCATGGTGTAAAGCGGCCGTGGTTGCAGACCTATAGGGGAGAATACTCCGCGCATGTGAGCCTGAGCAGCAAAACAAGAGATGACGCCGGTCTCGGTTTCCTGAATGTCTCCTTCGTCGGTGTGTCCGTTCTGGTTCTGACATGTCTGCTTTGTTGCTGTTGGCTCAATGTAGCGATTCTGTGTAGTTCGGTGGCCCCGGTCGCATGTCTCCGCTGATGTCTGCTGATGTTTCCTTCTCTCTGCGGCCAAGTGCCTTGGAAGAGGTCATCCAAGCGATGACGGCCACGAAGCCAGCGGAGCCTTTAGAAGATTTCGTGTCTACGTGGCATGATGTAAGGGCGTCACTGGAAGACGCTTGCAGCCATGCGATGCAAGACGATGTGCGCATGTTGTCTCGCCTAATGGCGTTGCTTCTCCACGGAGAATGGCAGGCCACTGTGTTGGATTTACCGACGCATCCGAAGCTACCTGGCTTCTGTCTGGTTCCAGCGCGGACGGTGCCACAGCAAAGTCGAGAGCAGTGGAGCTATTTCCTGCAGTATGACTTCTTTGGCCAACGATATGTGAAGGCGCGTAAGACGCTTTCCACGTAGGCCTGGCATCTCTCCACGCGGGAGAATATGCGGAGGGAATTCCTCTGGTGCCGCAGAGCTGCGTGGCTTTTGCGAAAGCTTCGGCAGCGTTGGCGCCAAGAGCGCGAAAGCCAAAGAGGTTCCTACGCGGAGATGCGCTGTCTCCCGGTAGGATAGTTTTTTTGTAGAAAATGCCATGAGTGCGGGTTGAATGCGGTTGAGTGCGGATGAGTGCGGGAAAATACCATCACTTCTGGCATGAGTGCGGGGCGTGAGTGCGGATAGGAAGAGGTGAGCAGTGAGGAGGTTTTCGTGAGTGCGGTTGAGTGCGGCAAGGCATAACCCCTCTCAAACCTAGGGCGGTCATGAGTGCGGTTGAGCGCGGGCGTTTGAACCTTCGAAATCCTCAAAAAGAGCCATGAGTGCGGGATTTTAGTGGAAAGTTGTAAATCTGAGAAAAAAATTCTTCACGGCCTTCCGCAGATTTGGATCCTCAAGCCTTCGGTCTTCTGACTTGTGTCTGTGCTGTTGTCCCGGTGTCCTGTCGCAATGGCAGCTGAGGAAGCCCAAGAGGCAAAGGCGAAGTGCGGCAGCTGTGGCTTGGAGTATTCCCAAGAGGAAGGTCGTCTACATGGACGAAACTTCAAGTGCGGCAATTGCAAGAATGTGGAGCAGACGTTACGGCGTCATCTTGGCACCACCGCAGACTTGCAAGAGTTTTCCCAAGAGGAGAGTGAGAAGTTCTTTAAGGCGACACATGCCGCCAAATGCCCTGACGGAAAGCTTGCTTGGCAAACCATCCGGGCGACCCTGCTGAAGCGCATGACCGAAGTGAGGATTGCGTCCTTTGAGAGCAAGGTCGCGGTGGAAGAACTTCCTTTGTCCGTGCTGCTGACGCGTGGATGGGAGGAACAGGTGGTGCGGAAATTTCCTTCGGAGTTTTCCGAAGCCCATGGCTGCGATCTGTTCAAGTGCCAGTGCGGACCTGCACATGGGCGGAAGCTTTTCAGAGTTCGGAGGAAACTTTGCTGGAAAGGGAAAAGCAAGCAAGCAAAAAGAAGGGGAGCAAAGACATGGACGTGCCTCTCGCTGGCCCAAGCGGTAAGGAGGAAGCGGAGTCTAAGAAGGCTGACCGCAAGAAAGCCCAAGAGGCTAAGAAGGTTGTCACCGAGAACGTGAAGATTGCAACCTGGGCGGCCAAGTGCCTCGGACCTCTGACCCAAGCGGAAACCTCCCTCACCAAGGTGATTGCCAAGGGAGACACAGTGCCGGATCCGGACGAGAAGGCCCTGACACTGTGTAAGGACAATCTGGTCACGGTGACCGGTTGGATCAAGGCGTCTAAGGAAGCGGTGTCCTTGCAGGATCACAATAAAGAGAAAGAGGAAGAGGCCCAGGTGGCCTTAGTTTCCTTGCCCTGCGACGCGACTGACGTCAAAGTGCTTCTCAAACAAATTGCGGAAGCCACGAAAGCCCTACGCGGGTCCTTCCCAAAGCCGAAGGCTAAGGCCAAAGCGGTTGCGGGAGCAGAGGCGTCTGCGCCGAAGCGTCGCAGGACCAAACAAAACCCGTGAGCTATGCGCTCCCGCTGGCCACGGGCAGATACTATACATATGTATATAGAGGTGGCATCGATGCTACAGGGGTTAAGGTAGTATGCGAAGCCTGTGGAGATAAACAACCCACAAATGCACGTGCATCCGGATGGTCGAAAAAAAAAGTTGGGCTTGTCTGGAACAGTGGGCTGTGGTAGTAGTCGCATTCTCCATAGGGTCGTCACCGTGCCTATCTTTGTCTCCGTTCTGTGTGCATGCTTGTTTGCGTTCTTTTGGCTCGTCAGGTATCCCTCCATGTACGCAAACTGAGGATCGACGATGGCCCGGGTGCGCAGTTCCGCGCTCTGCGACAGTTGCCAGGTGTCAGCCAAGAGCTGGGGCGAAACATCGTGTCGCTATTGCGAGATGATGACAGAGGAAAAGGCGTCTGCAAAAGAAAAAAGGACATTGCCCCAGAGGCATGCGGGATTCAAGTTCGTCTACGGGACGAAGGCAATCCCGAGATCGAAATTGTTGCTAACAGCTTGCCGCAGTTGAGTGAGAAAAAAAGGAACGATGTCCACTTTTTTCGCGTTTGTTGGACCACGCCTTGGTCCGCAACAGAAATGAGCTCACGTTAGTTCTAGCCCAAGATGAAACGACCCCAGGCAACGTTCTCTCGAGTCGTCCAGCAAGAAAGACTAATTGGATCTTTGCATCTTTCTTAGAGATAGAGGCCTTATGGATTGATAGCATGTGGTTGCCTGTATCTTGCATCCTTGCAAAGGAGGCGCAAGACGCCAAATATTCCTATGTGGAATACACGCGTGTGGTCCTACGGCATCTCCATGGCGAGGTGCAAAATGGCGTTGCACTGGATGCATCTGAAGGACCCGTGCTTGTCTTTTTACCCAAAATAATTCTTTTGGGGGATCACGAAGCCTTACGGGCTTTGTCGGGGGCCAAAGGCTCTAGTGGCGCTAAGCCATGTCTCAAATGCTGCAATATCTTGAGTCAAAATCGACATATACCCCCTTTGCACGCTTGCATCACGGAGGCCAACAGCGCCAACTTCCTCCCTCAGACTGAAGAAGGACTTCGTAAGATTCTGCAGCATTTTGATTCTTGCAGGACGAAGAAGAATTTGCAAGAGGCAGAAACAGCTCTAGGCTGGAATGCAGAGATGTTGCGTCGATCAGTTGTCACTGATGCCTTCTTGAGTGGCTGGGTTACATTGCAATCCTTTTACTTCGACAGCATGCACCAGTACTGGTCATGCGGGCAAGTTGCGCAGGAGCTGGGTCTTTGGTACACGCATCTTGCCGATTGCCACATTACCTTGGACGCTCTGCGCGCATGGGTCGCCATTGGTTGGAAAGATCTAGGGCGTACGCCGCCCATGCATTTGTTCTCTGATAAAATGTTCAAACGCGACATAGACTACCGCGGAGACGCGCAAGCGTGTCTGGTGGTATTCCCACTCTGCTGGGCATATAGCATGGAAATCTTAAATGGCCGCTATGACGTGGCAGAAGCTATTGCTTCCCTGAATGCCCTCTACGCTGTGACACAAGTCATCCATGAGATGAAAAGGCAGCCACGAGCTGTGGAGCGGTTAGAGCCGTTGCAACAGGATCGACCACATGAAGAAATTTCGTGCGGCGTACGGTTCGGAGCATGTGCGTCCGAAAGTTCACTTCTCGCGGCACTTGCGTGAACAAGTTGATACTTGGAAACGTCACATTGATTGCTTTGTGACCGAACGTAAAAATAAAATATTCAAGCGCCAAATTGCGCCGCGTTTGAATCGGTTGTCCTCTTTCTCTGCCAGCGCGTTGATGGAGCTCACCCAATCTGAACTCAACACCACCCATGTGGTGGACCGGCTTGTCGGCCAATTGGTTGGGAAAGGAAAGCCACATTTGGAATTGGCCAAAGAAGTCCATGTGACGCCAGACGCTCTCTTTGCTACGGGCATCGAAGTGGGGTGCGTGGAGTTCCTACGTGGACATTTCCTCGTCTTGCACCCCACTCTCTGCCTTGAAATTCATCATGGCATGAAAATCCAAGAAAACCATTGCCCGGTGGTTGAAGAATGGCTGCCCTACGAGGGCCGGCCGACACCAAAATGCCAGCAGTGGCGCCGGAATGCGCGTGCGAGCAAGTACGCCTTGCCGGCGCACAAACTGAAAGGCCACGAGCCATTGCATCTCATGCGAAAGGAGCATGAACTTGTCTGGCTGCTGCGATGAGACGAGCGCAATTAACAAAACGGCGCAAGAAAAAAGAAACAATACTATTTAAAAAATAAAATAAAAGTTTAAAAAAGTTACTTTTCCTAAAAATTGCTCCAAATGGTAAAATTGCAAATGAACAATGAAAAAACTTAGCTTCACTTAGCTGCCACTTAGCAAGCACTTAGCGAAGCATGTTTTGTAGCCCCAAAGCTAAGTGACCTAAGTGAAAGATAACTTCTGCTAAGTCACCTATACCTCAAAAGCGGGTCCCAAGTAAGGTCTGTGTGTCGAAACTGGCATGTCTGTGTCGGCCGCGGGGCTTCTGCGTCGGCCGCCGAGGGGCTGTGTCGGACGGCGGCGCCTGAGTCCGCCGCGGGGCTTCTGCGTCAGCCGCCGAGGGGCTGTGTCGGGCGGCGGCGCCTGAGTCGGCCGCGGGGCTTCTGTGTCGGACAGGGGGGCGTGCGCGGCGCTTCCACAAAGAAGAAAAAAAGATCCCAGCGCTAACTTAGCAAACTAAGGTCTGTGTGTCGAAACTGGCATGTCTGTGTCGGCCGCGGGGCTTCTGTGTCGGCCGCGGAGGGGCTGTGTCGGACGGCGGCGCCTGGGGCGTGCGCGGCGCTTGTGCAAGGCTTCCACAAAGAAGGAAATAAGATCCCAGCGCTAACTTAGCAAACAAACTAAGGTCTGTGTGTCGAAACTGGCATGTCTGTGTCGGCCGCGGAGGGGCTGTGTCGGACGGCGGCGCCTGGGGCGGCGCGTGCAAGGCTTCCACAAAGAAGGAAATAAGATCCCAGCGCTAACTTAGCAAACTAAGGTCTGTGTGTCGAAACTGGCATGTCTGTGTCGGCCGCGGGGCTTCTGTGTCAGCCGCCGAGGGGCTGTGTCGGACAGCGGCGCCTGAGTCCCAACTATCTTGCAACGTCACAACATCTTCTAAATGTGCCATCTGTGACGAGTTACAAGAGAAAATTCGGATCATAGCGTCAAGACCGGCTCAAAAAGTGACTGGAAAAAGCTCAGAGCAAAGCATCAAGAGCGTGTCACAAGCTGCATGTGCCTGTGTCGGACAAAAGTTTCCCATCCCTTTCCCCCCCACATTCCCCCCCACACCCCCCACCCCAAAAAATAATCACACGGTCAATCGTCGAAACGTTTCAAGCATCTTGCAACGTGCCAAGCATCTTGCAACGTGCCAACTTTCTTGCAATCTCACAACATCTTCTAAACGTGCCCTCTTCACGACCACGCCTAACCCTTATATTAAGTTGCCTTTCTAACCCCTTATACTGCAAATTCATTATCATTACACGCATGCTTTTCTAACCCCATGGGGAATCTAACCCTCAAATAATTTTTTTTTAACCATTACTAGGTGTACTAACCCTAACCACTAACCTTACTAGGTGATTTGTTTTTTTTTCCTTTTTGTTCCTGTCCTTTTTGTTCCTCTCCTTTTTCCTTTTTGTTCCTGTCCTTTTTGTTCTTCTCCTTTTTCCTTTTTGTTCCTGTCCTTTTTGTTCTTTTCCTTTTTCCTTTTTGTTCCTGTCCTTTTTGTTCTTTTCCTTTTTCCTTTTTGTTCCTGTCCTTTTTGTTCTTTTCCTTTTTCCTTTTTGTTCCTGTCCAAAATCCTCTCCTCTCTCCTCTCTCTTCTGCTGCAGCCTATATTCTCCTTTCTTATCCCATTCCTTTTTTTCTCCTCTCTTCTCCTTCTCTCCTCCCTCCTCTTCTCTCTCTTTCTCTCTCTTTCTCTCTCTTTCTCTCTTTCTCTCTTTCTCTTTGTCTCTCACTCTCTCTCTCTCTCTCTTTCTCTCTTCTTCTCTATTTTTCCCTTCTTTTCTGTCTCTCTTCTTCCTCTTCTTCCCTTCTTCTCCTTTCTCCCAACGGCTCCTGTCCCTCACAGAGCTTGCGCTCCGCGGCCACCCCCTGAACCTTTCAGTAGCAGCCGAACCTTTCCGTCACCGACCTTTTAGTATCAAAAAGGTCGCTTGGCTACAGTCTTGTCACAAAAGAGTGATTCTTGCAAGCTTGAACCTTCCCGTACAAGCCCGTAAAACCTTCCCCAGTTCTCCTGACCTATGGAGACTTTTCCTCTTTACGGGGACTTTACGGGGACTTTACGGGGACTCTTCTCTATGGAGACTTTTTCTCTCTCTATGGAGACTTTCCTCTTTACGGGGACTTTACGGGGACTTTACGGGGACTCTTCTCTATGGAGACTTTTTCTCTCTCTATGGAGACTTTTCCTCTTTACGGGGACTTTACGGGGACTCTTCTCTATGGAGACTTTTTCTCTCTCTATGGAGACTTTTCCTCTTTACGGGGACTTTACGGGGACTCTTCTCTATGGAGACTTTTTCTCTCTCTATGGAAACTTTTCCTTTTTACGGGGACTTTACGGGGACTCTTCTCTATGGAGACTTTTTCTCTCTCTATGGAGACTTTTCCTCTTTACGGGGAGGGGACTTTACGGGGACTCTCTCTCTATGGAGACTTTTTCTCTCTCTATGGAGACTTTTCCTCTTTACGGGGACTTTAGGACTTTACGGGACTCTTCTCTATGGAGACTTTTTCTCTCTCTATGGAGACTTTTCCTCTACGGGACTTTAAGCGGGACTTTACGGGGACTTTCTCTATGGAGACTTTCTCTCTCTATGGAGACTTTTTCCTCTTTACGGGGACTTTACGGGGACTTTACGGGGACTCTTCTCTATGGAGACTTTTTCTCTCTACGGGAAAGCTCTACGGCATGTATTGTGAGCAAATTTCCCGACGTCTATGGGAAAGCTCTACGGGATGCACCGCGAGCAATTTCCCGTCAATTTCCCGACGTCTATGGATCCCCGGGGTTTTGGATGCAAAATTTTTGTGTTCAGGGAACATTTTGTTGTTGCAAACTGATTTCATTACATTATTCCTTAGGACTGCTGCTTTTAGGCTTAGAGGTTAGTGAAATGCACAATATTGTGGTTAGTGAAATACACAATATTGAGGTTAGTGGAAATATAAGGGTCACGACATTTTTTGTGGTTAGCAAAATCTACCTTGTTGGAGTTAGGCAAAGATCTCTTGAGGTTAGCAATTTGGCTTGTAAGGGTTAGAAGTGCGTCTCGTGCCATCTTTGACAAGTTACAAGAGGAAATTCGGAGCATAGCGTCAAGACCGGCTCAAAAAGTGACTGGAAAAAGTTCAGAGCAGAGCATCAAGAGCGTGTCACAAGCTGCATGTGCCTGTGTCGGACAAAAGTTTCCCACCCCTCCACCCTCCTTCCCCCCCACCTCCCCCCCACCCCCCCCACCCCAAAAATAATCACACGGTCATTCGTCGACAATGTTGTGGAACGTTTCAAGCATCTTGCAACGTGCCAAGCATCTTGCGACGTGCCAACTATCTTGCAACATCACAACATCTTCTAAATGTGCTATCTTTGACGAGTTACAAGAGAAAATTCGGAGCATAGCGTCAAGACCGGCTCAAAAAGTGACTGGAAAAAGTTCAGAGCAAAGCAAAATCAAAAAAAAAAATCAAAAAAAACGAAAACAAAACAAAAAAATAAAAGCGTGGCACAACCTGCATGTGCCTTGTCGTACAAAAGGTTTCCCACCCCCTCCCCCACCCCCACCTTCCCTCCCAACCCCCTCCCCCACCCCCCCCACCACAAAAATAATCACCAGTCCAATCTCGACAATGTTTGTGAAAACGTTTCAAGCCTCTTGCACACTTGCCAAGCATCTTGGCACGCACTATCTTGCAACGTCACAACATCTTCTAAATGTGCCATCTTTGACGAGTTACAAGAGAAAATTCGGAGCATAGCGTCAAGACCGGCTCAAAAAGTGACTGGAAAAAGTTCAGAGCAGAGCATCAAGAGCGTGTCACAAGCTGCATGTGCCTGTGTCGGACAAAAGTTTCCGACCCCCTCCTTCCCCCCCACCTTCCCCCCCACCCCCCTCCCCAAAAATAATCACACGGTCAATCGTCGACAATGTTGTGAAACGTTTCAAGCATCTTGCAACGTGCCAAGCATCTTGCAACGTGCCAACTATCTTGCAACTCACAACATCTTCTAAATGCGCCATCTGTGACAAGTTACAAGAGAAAATTCGGAGCATAGCCTCAAGACCGGCTCAAAAAGTGACTGGAAAAAGTTCAGAGAGAGCATCAAGAGCGTGTCACAACTGCATGTGCCTACGGATGGGGGACCCCCCCACCTTCCCCCCACCCCAAAAATAATCACACGGTCATTCGTCGACAATGTTGTGAAACGTTTCAAGCATCTTGCAACGTGCCAAGCATCTTGCAACGTGCCAACTATCTTGCAACGTCACAACATCTTCTAAATGTGCAATCTGTGACAAGTTACAAGAGAAAATTCGGAGCATAGCGTCAAGACCGGCTCAAAAAGTGACTGGAAAAAGTTCAGAGCAGAGCATCAAGAGCGTGTCACAAGCTGCATGTGCCTGTGTCGGACAAAAGTTTCCGACCCCCTCCTTCCCCCCCACCTTCCCCCCCACCCCCCTCCCCAAAAATAATCACACGGTCAATCGTCGACAATGTTGTGAAACGTTTCAAGCATCTTGCAACGTGCCAAGCATCTTGCAACGTGCCAACTATCTTGTAACGTCACAACATCTTCTAAATGTGCAATCTTTGACAAGTTTCAAGAGAAAATTCGGAGCATAGCGTCAAGACCGGCTCAAAAAGTGAATGGAAAACGTTCAGAGCAGAGCTTGCAACCTCACAACATCTTCTAAATGTGCCATCTTTGACAAGTTACAAGAGAAAATTCGGAGCATAGCGTCAAGACCGGCTCAAAAAGTGACTGGAAAAAGCTCAGAGCAGAGCATCAAGAGCGTGTCACAACCCCCCACCCCACCTAATAATCACACGGTCATTCGTCGACAATGTTGTGAAACGTTTCAATCATCTTGCAACGTGCCAAGCATCTTGCAACGTGCCAACTATCTTGCAGCATCACAACATCTTCTAAATGCGCCATCTGTGACAAGTTACAAGAGAAAATTCGGAGCATAGCGTCAAGACCGGCTCAAAAAGTGACTGGAAAAAGTTCAGAGCAGAGCATCAAGAGCGTGTCGCAACCTGCATGTGCCTGTGTCGGACAAAAGTTTCCCACTCCCTCCCCCACCCCACCTTCCCCCCCACCCAAAAATAATCACATGGTCATTCGTCGACAATGTTGTGAAACGTTTCAAGCATCTTGCAACGTGCCAAGCATCTTGCAACGTGCCAACTATCTTGCAACGTCACAACATCTTCTAAATGTGCCATCTTTGACGAGTTACAAGAGAAAATTCGGAGCATAGCGTCAAGACCGGCTCAAAACGTGACTGGAAAAAGTTCAGAGCAGAGCATCAAGAGCGTGTCACAAGCTGCATGTGCCTACGTGTGTCGGATAAAAGTTTCCCCCGCCTCCCCCCCCACCCCACCTTCCGCCCCACACCCCCACACCAAAAATAATAACACCGTCATTCGTCGACCATGTTATGAAACGTTTCAAGCATCTTGCAACGTGCCAGGCATCTTACGACGTGCCAACTACTTGCAACCTCACAACATCCGTGCCATCTTTACAGTTACAAAGAAAATTCGGAGCATAGCGTCAAGACCGGCTCAAAAATGACTTAAAAAGTTCAGAGCAAGCATCAATAGCGTGTCACAAGCTGCATGTGCCTGTGTCGGACAAAAATTCCCCCGCCTCCCCCCCCACCCCACCTTCCGCCCCACACCCCCACACCAAAAATAATAACACCGTCATTCGTCGACCATGTTATGAAACGTTTCAAGCATCTTGCAACGTGCCAGGCATCTTACGACGTGCCAACTACCTTGCAACGTCACAACATCTTCTAAATGTGCCATGATTTACAAGTTACAAAGAAAGTTCGGAGCATAGCCTCAAGACCAACTCAAAAACTGACTTAAAAAGTTCAGAGCGGAGCATCAAGAGCGTGTCACAAGCTGCATGTGCCTGTGTCGGACAAAAGTTTCCCCCCACCTCCCCCCCACCCCACCTTCCCCCCCACCTCCACACCCCCACCCCAAAAATAATCACACACACGGTCATTCGTCGACAATGTTGTGAAACGTTTCAAGCATCTTGCAACGTGCCAAGCATCTTGCACGTGCCAACTATCTTGCAACGTCACAACATCTTCTAAATGTGCTATCTTTGACGAGTTACAAGAAAAAAATTGGAGCATAGCGTCAAGACCGGCTCAAAAAGTGACTTGAAAAAGTTCAGAGCGGAGCATCAAGAGCGTGTCACAAGCTGCATGTGCCTCAGTGTGTCGGACAAAAATTTCCCCCCACCCCCCCCCACCTCCCCCCCACCCCACCTTCCCCCCCACCCCAAAAATAATCACACGGTCATTCGTCGACAATGTTATGAAACGTTTCAGGCATCTTGCAACGCGCCAAGCATCTTGCGACCTGCCAACTATCTTGCAAAGTCAAACCATCTTTTGAACGTGCCATCATTTGCAAGTTACAAGAGAAAATCTGGAGCATAGCGTCAAGACCAGCTCAAAAAGTGACTTGAAAAAGTTCAGAGCCGAGCATCAAGGGCGTGTCACAAGCTGCAAGAGAAAGTTTAGAGTTCAGCATCACGAGGTGCTACGAGTGCGTTGTTAACAGTTACCATCCCAATCACACGGTCATTCGTCAATGTTCCTACATGTTTCGGACAAAAGTTTCATGTGCTCATTTCCTTTCATGTCCTCTCACGGCTCCCCCTCATTTCATTTCGTTTCTTTTCGTGTCCTGCGTGCGTCCTGGTTGTCTGACTCGCGACCTGGTTGGCTGACTCGCGACCTGGTTGGCTGACTCGTGACCTGTTGGCTGACTCGCGACCGGTTGTCTGACTCGCGACCTGGTTGGCTGACTCGCGACCTGGTTGGCTGACTCGCGACCTGGTTGGCTGACTCGCGACCTGGTTGGCTGACTCGCGACCGGGTTGTCTGACGCGCGACCTGGTGACTCGCGACCTGGTTGTCTGACTCGCGCCACCCTGGTTGGCTGACTCGCGCCTTCCGGTTGGCTGACTCGCGCCTTCCTGTTGGCTGACTCGTGCCTTCCTGTTGGCTGACTCGCGCCTTCCTGTTGGCTGACTCAGGTTGTCTGACTCGCAGCCCTGTTGGCTGACATGGTCTTCGCCCATTGACAACTTTGTGTTCATATAAATATAGTTGTCAATAGATCATTTTAAACATATATATGTTGTAATGTCTTGGGATGTTCTAAGTGTGGGGGACTCCAAAGCTAATTGACAACTTTGTGTTCATATAGATATAGTTATGTCGAAAGATCATTTTAAATATATATATATATGTATATATATGTTGTAATGTCTTGGCATGTTCTAAGTGTGGGGGTCTCCGAAGCTGATTTATAACGTTGTGTTCATATAAAAATAGTTATGTCAATAGATCATTTTAAACATATATATTTAGTAATGTCTTGGGATGTTCTAAGTGTGGGGGACTCCACAGCTGATTGATAACGTTGTGTTCAAATAAATACAGTTATGTCAATAGACCATTAAAAAACAAATATAATATACATATTTATATATATATATATTGTAATGTCTTGGGATGTTCTAAGTTCTAAGTGTGGGGATGTTCGGATGTTCTTAAATATAGCTTTCAGTGAAAAAAAATCCAAATGATGTTCTTCCCGATGTTCTAAGTGATTGTCCGTCGCTATATACACTTGACATGAGTTCTTTGATGATTAGAGACCGTTCATCGTGTATCTAATCTTCCTCGAGCCTAACAGCCTAACATCGCCGCCTCCAGATTCTCCTCGGACTCACTCTTGAGCAGTTCCGGTGCCTGCGTCATTTTCCAGGTTGAGCCCACGATTTGAAAATTCTACAGCTAAATTGGGGGAGACAAGTGGCCAAAACGAAGCGTTGTGGTGTCATGCCTTCTCTCTGACATGAACATCGTTGTCAAAGGAACATTGATCTTCTGTTCTTTCGCCTGATAGCCTGATGTTGGCACCTCTAAATCATCCTCAGAGTCAGCATTGAGCAATCCTTGCTGCGCGGATGCCTAGGTCAATCAAGCCCTGTAGAAAAGGTCCAGGTGAAGTGGAGGCAAGAAGCCGAAACACACTGGAATATCAAATGACTTATATGGTTTGATGTTGATCGAGCAAGAATTGCATCGCAGCCACGTTAAATTGTAAACATGGGCTGCAAGACAACCATGGATAGAATTTGAAAAGAGTCGGCACACTGAAATGTTGAATAGACTGTGCAGATGGCCTGGGCAACACCATCTTCGTCCGAATGATCATCAACGTTATTCATATCCTCCCCCTCGTCAGACTCATCAGGCTCCTGAAGCACATCATCCTCTTCGGGCACCCCCGTAGCCGTCGTACCAAGTGAGAGTTGCCTCCGAGCACGGAAGGAAAGGAGTTCAAAAGAGACGCTGTAGTTACGCTGCATGAGCCAGCTGCTTGATTCACAATTATATCATAGATTGTCTTAGCATGTCTTCGCAGTTCGCCCTTGACTGAAAGTCGGTAGTTGGATTTTTCTCACAACGAAATGGCCACGAAGTGTCGTTTGGATCTTGACCAGCCCAAAGCCTCGTGTCCTTCTCGGACTTCTCCTCTGCGGAAGCCACTTGCAAAAGGTCCTGATTGATCTGATTGGGAAGGATCCCGCAGCAGGCTCGCGTCGACAGAGGTGGGGGGTTGGTATCAAAATGTCGAGCAATTTCGGAAAGTCATATCCCTTTTACGTCCTTTTACTGTATCATCATCCATCTCGCCCACATGTGGCCGCAAAGGGCCACAAATGAAATCATACATATATCACTGATTTGACAAGGATAAAGGGATGCAACATACTATCTGAAAATTCCAAACTTTCTGAGTTCCATGCTTTTTCAAAGATTGCTCCAGGCATTGAACACCTTGCATTCTCAACAGGGTAAATTAGAAACACAAAGTCACAAAGACTTCAACTTCTCTGGGACAGGAAGTTTCTCAAGCTGGGAGTCTGACATAGGCACATTGGCCTCAAAAAGTGGAGGCTGGCAGCAGCCCCTTTCGCAATCCAGCTGCTTAGCAAGCTGCCGTGCCAGCTGTGAGGCAAACAAGAGTTGGACAGCCGGCTGCAAATGCCTCAAAACAGAGAAGAACAGCAGGCAAAACGGAGAGAAACATATTGATGTTGACATCCATTGAACAAACCATGTCAAATACTCGGCCAAGAAGCATCCATGCTTCCAGGTCAGCATTTACCCGCCATGTGCATGGGCGCCACTCATGCGCCATCGACATCGTGACGAATGGCTGTAACCCTTCACAGGTTGATATCGGGCTCTTTTAGCAACCGATGCGAAGCAGCCCAATCAGTGGAAAGAAAAAGCCGGCCCGTTTTGGCTATGTCTTGCGACCACCTCAAACCACGAGTCACTAGTCAGCCTATGCTGTGATTGCAGGATGAAAAAATCATTGTGTTTTGAAAAATTGAATGTTGTAGCCGTAGCTGTGAAATCCGGTTTCAAGCGCCAAGAGCTCGCTGCAGAGCATAGATCATGACTCCTTTGCGATTTTTTCGTTTCACTTCATTGCTCAATCTTGCGATATCTTACGAGTTGGCAGGTTCGGTTCTGATCTCCCAATACGTCTAACCTATTGCCCGTACAAATCGAACAAACGTATGTTTCCAGAATGAGCAATGGAGATCCCATGTGTCTGTGGGGTTTAAAATTCACGCACCTGTGCACAGCTCTACTTCCTCTCCAGTAACGAAAGACAAGTTTACAAAATAAGATGAAATTTCAGATGTTGGTTTTGACTGGTGATTGCGTCAGTTTCTCGGGTAATGTTCTTTGCACTTCTACCACATGTTGCACTTGATGCTATCCTTTTTTGCCCGAACCGCACTGTTCATCAACGTCTATGTGTCAATGGTTCTGGCTCTTCGGTCAATTTGCAACGGTGATGAGATAAGGAATATCGCCACTGGAATCATCTGCATAATGTGGGGAAAAGTGCGCCAGGTTCTTTCTCACTTGCGCAATCTTCTACTGAGCACACGGTCCTTAATTAAAAACGAGAATACGATGGAATAACTATACAGAATATCAATCAGCGACAAAGTTGTTGCAAAACAATGGAAAAACCCACAATAGCAACTGAATCTCCTGCACCGCAAGAACTGCTCGACGTGCTCCATCTCATAAACCGCTCTCGCTCTGCCGATGCACCAAAATCTGCAACTCTGTCACTGACCTGTCCCAGCGTGAGTGCCTCGGACTCATCCGAATCTCTGCCGTCGAACATCGGGCATCTGCTGCTTGGCCTAGCCCAGACAATGATCCAGCCAAGGTATCCAGGTACCCAGATTCAGATTGCCAAGTAAGGACCGTTTTCAAAATTCAACACTGTGTCACAATCGTTTCCTCCAGGTCTCATGTTTGTTCGTCTTCACTGATTTGGCACGTCCCTGATGTGGAACCGGTGTGACACAGAATGGGGTTGGAATATGTTGGAATGATAAATATTGTCAAACTATTTCAAACTACTTAAACGCACAAAAATTATTCTCTGCACAGAAATGTCAAACACGTACACACAAGTCACAAGTCTGTTTCAGGCCTCCATTGTCATCATGAGATGCGCCTGTGAGGTCAAAGCATTTACCTAGCAGGCATGTCTATTGACGGCAACCACGCTGGGTATCTGGGAAGAGGAAGACAAGGAAACACGGATCTCCGGATCAAACAAGTGTATGGAAATGTATGGAATCTTGTGAATTACGAACACAATATGACACAATAAATGAACCGAGACAATGAAATTTCAGAAAGGTCAACTAAATGATGGGATCGGTGAATGCAACGCGACTTTGTCTAGCGGTATGCGATATGATTATGCAATGTAAGCTAGCACAGCCTGCACTACAGAAGCATACCATTCTTCAGTCTTCTGTC